GTTTAGTAGATTTTTCAAACACAATGCAAATTGACAACCTGAGAAATTTACCCTATGAGAACAATTGACTTTTTTTTTTTAATGGAAATTAAAGCAACACCTTCAAATCATTTGTAGATTTCTGTTAAGACAGAGCGGCCTGAATACTCACATGAGCTACTGAGAATCAAATAATCTTCAAACAAAATAATCATCTGAAGAAGAATATTTTCACAGAAGAATATTGATCAATAGCCAAAAGAGTTCTTTAAAAGTATCTAATTATTTAGCAGTTCTCCTACGAGAGGTGAAAATAAAAACAACAACCCCTCCCTCCACTCCCCTAGCCTTTACATCCTACTATTTTGTCCAGAGGATGGAAAAAAAATCCCCAAAAAACATCACAAAAAACAAACCCCAAAACAGCAGCTGTCTTTAAAATGCAAACAAACTTTTGTGGGCTTATGTGAACTGTCAGTTCTTCTATCCAAGGAAATACACATTCCCAACTGTATGAAACAAACACTTCAAAACAGAAATCAAGGGCTCAGCTTGTCGTTTTGCAATTGTTTCCTCAGCCAACATTGACTTCAAATACAACTCTCCCATTCCTTCCCAGAACAAGCCAAAATTAGAAAGACCAGATGGCACTCAAGATTTGCCTGAAATTCTTGCTCAGTCTGTCACCATCAACATGGAAACTGCATAGAACTGGATGATATGACTCCAACCCCACCATTTTTTTACCAGCACATCTATGGGCACCACCTTTGGTCACTACACGTTCACTGAAAAAACCTGAGCTTTTACTAAAGCAAACTACATGGAATAAACTTTACCATCCAGGGTCTATCCACCCTAAGCATCTCTTTCCATGTTATTTGCATGGAAACAATGTAATTTATTGGAAAAATAAAGCATCCATAAATCCTGGTGGTCACTTTGAGCCTATGAAGTCCTTTTTTTCCCCATCTGTTCAAACCCACTCAAAACAGCATTCAGCAGTTAATTCATTTTTCTGTACATTGTGTACCACAAAATAAAGTTTTATAAAAATATAAATATGGACATTTCCAGTATCACTTCACTTGATCTTAGTGAATAATTCTTTCTTTGGGGTCTGAGAAGAGGAGTAATTAATTAGGGCACTATCACCAGCATCAGCATTTACAACATTTTTGGGAGAAGAAGACCTGGTATCAGTTGTCAGAACAGCTCCAATGGTGGCAAGATCCAAAACCAGCAGGGTGGCCCTGCTGCAGGGAACCTTGCTCTGCCACTTTTCCCAGCAAAATCTCTGTACTCCTCCAACAGCAGGTAAACAGCACTCTTAGGAAGAATCCAACCTGCTGCCTTTATTTACCGTTTTATGGACAACTAGAAAGAGCAATCAGAAGTTACAGCCACCCTGAAATGCTCTGTAACTGGGAACAGGCTCAGTGCCAGGCAAGAAGAAGACAACTACTCCTGCTGCAGCAACAGTGGGAATAGCCATTGCTCAGGGAAGTATTGTTACATCCCTGCCCTTAAATGCTGCTCCTCTCTCTCCCTTAAGTGTTCATGAAACTGCCTTAATCCCCATCTGGGTATCAGCCTGTTCTATTAAAATCCTACCTTGCCTTATTGAGTTGCTATGCACGAAATGACCATAATTCAAGTGCCAACAGGTGCAATGGGGGTGGCTGGCACCAGAATAAACCACAGCCGTTCAAACAACAGCTGCCTCTTTTCTGAGGCTTCCCAAAGAATCTCCCTCCCATTTAAACTCTCACCATGCTGGTACATAGGGCCAAATGAACCTGGGAATTACACCCTGCCCAGAGACTTCTGCCAGCAGATAGCTTACAAAGGCTTCCAGTTGTTACACTCAAAATGCAAAAAACCCTGGATAGAAGAAAGAAATAAAAAAGAAGTTATTAAACTTCATCCTGAAAGGGCAATTTTAAAAAGTGCAGGATACATAAGCAGACTTAAAGCACTGCTGTATATCATACTGTTCCTCAACATCCTGCCTATATACCCATGCTCCAGGATGTGGACTGTGGATCTCAGTTGTTAGGAAAGCAAAAAACTGAAAATCAAACCAACATTCCATTATGTATATGTATATGTATACGTATACGCATACGTATACGTATATGTATATGCTGTGACCCTCTTTTTCACACTGCCTTGTCAACGCTGCACTGACTTATGGTCACAGAACCTGCCTAGTCCAAGGCTGGACAGGGCCCTAAAAGAAAGGCTTATTTTTTTTTATAACTTCTAAAATATTTGGGACTCAAGCAACTAACAAACTAAGATGACTTCTCATCACTGTAGAAGCAGACAGATTTTTAAACTCAGTAGGTTTTAAAAAAATCACATTTAAATTTTTGTTTAAGACAAAAGGTCTTATTATGAGACATAATGAGGCTGACAGTATTTCTCTGGATTCTAATTGCAAGGAATCAAGGTAATACTAATCACACTATTCTCACTCCTCAAAAATTAAAGTACAAATAATTGTTGTGGACAAAACTGATGAAGACAAAGAGAATACTCCTTTCCTACTAAACTGAGGTCAAGTCTCAGAGTACTTTGTAGAGCAGTACAGGGAGTGGATTTTTATGCCATCCAAAAGTTTTGGTAATTTAAAAAAATTTCCACTCTAAATTGACACAAATACCTTAAAAAATGGTTCACATTCTCATAAGATCTTAAATAACTCATTTATAAAGAAAAGCAAATACTTTATATACTACTAGCCTCTTTGAACTAGTGATAGTTTTATTTATACATTTTGAAAATGAAGAAACAAGATCATTTGGAAACCTAATGACACGGGATTTTTTGGGCTTTTTGAGAAACACACAAAACTGTTTCAAAATCAGCTTTGATTTCATCAATAAATCCCACTGAAATCATACCCAATCTGAAAGCATAGTTTGGAAATTTATAAACAGCTTTGGTGCCTCATCTGTAGGAGAGCAGAGAAACCTCTTACTTTGAATAAAAAGCATTTAAAGATTGACCTTTTTTCAACCTACTGCCTCCATACTAGTAAAACAAGCATCACTCAGATCTCTGTTCCTGGGGAGTACTCCTCACAAAAGGCTGCTTTCTGTTATATTTTGTGTTTACCTAAGGAAAAAAATACTCTGCACAATCAACCCCTCCAAGAGTGACTGAAGACCCCAGCAGCTGAGGAAGGAAAGCCAGCCTGCATCTGTTCAGGCTCTGAACAGAAAAAGCAATTCTCAGTCTCTGTCATTTGATACCTCTTGCCATCACTACATTTGCTTTGTATTTTAAATAGAACATGGTTAATGAACATACTTTCCACTACTCCACCCAAGTGACAGTTTAACTCCTTGGGACCAAGGCTAAATTCCCAGAGGAAGGTCAAGCTGTGAATCACCAGTCCTTGGAACACAGCACTAGATCTGTCACAGGGAGCAGAGCAGCCTACAAAACTGAGGGGGAAGTGTCAGAAAGTTTGATGAGAAGTGGTTCCAAGGATTGGCTCCAAGGATGTAAATGTGCTCTTGGCAGAAGCTGTATTCACTGAGTTAGCCACTATCACACATCTCCACAGCTGTTTCTGCCAGGCCAGGGATAGCCAAGAGGCCCCTCAAAGAAGGGGATTCATGTGCACAGAGCAGAATGGATTTTAGACAGCAGAGAAATGCAAGAGGAGCAATGTCCCTCAATCCAGCACTGCTCAAGGGTCCAGGTCCCTGTCTAGGAAAAGGCTGTTTTCTGCAACTAACAGTGCTTTTCTCTGAAGATATCCTAGACCCAAAATTGTCAACCATGTTATCAACAGAAAGATCTCTTACATGTAGGAGCTGAGTATCAGAAATACAGATGCTACTCTTAAAAGGAACAACTGCTTCTGCAGTCTATCAACACTCTCCCTAGCCTTGGGCTGTATTTTAATTTATTTTAGAAGAATGGTTTCCAGCCTGTGGGTGATGCAGCTCTGCAGAAACAGACACCATATGGACAGAATGGAGCATTTCTCCAGGACAACAACACACAGCAGGTCAGGTGCACCTGATGTGCCGAGACAGCACTGGAGTGTTCAACACAGTCAGCTCCACCCACTGCCCCAAACTCATTTGGGCAAACATTCTTCAGGCATGTCTCCTCAAAACCCTCTCGGTGTGGCTCTCCTTTCTCATTTCCAGGAGCTGCTAGGCACTGGCCATTTGTCCCTCCCACCTACAGACCAAGAAACTGAGGAAGCGTAACAGGCTTCCTCACCACATCACCTCTGTCCTTCACACAGATCTGCTAGCCCTGGCCCTCATGGTGCAAGGGCAAACCCAGGAGAGAAAAGTTTAGCAAAGACATCTTTCTGGCAGGCAAACTTGGCTGTTCACATCACTAAGACCTTTCAGCCTTCCCATCTGTCTTCTTTACACTACTATGGCACTGCACACCATTATTATAAGAACAATTGTTCCACGACAGCATGTTCTCACCCAAATCTCAGACTTTAAACACAACACATTTAAGCATTCTTCTTCTGAGTTGTTCCAGTTTTGCTTGCAGGTCTCCAGAAGTGGGTAGAGCTGAGAGTGAAGTGTGTGTGACCAGGTTGCTATTCTATACCACTCAAATCAGTCAGAAGGAAAAAAAGGTGAACATGTGCCATTTTGTTCTGTTTCTTCCTCAGAGAAATTGCCAATGACCAGCAGTCTGGACTCTGATTCTGTTTTTAAATCACCTTCTCTTTTGCATACTTTTGTTATTAATACTGTTGCTTGTTATTTTTTCATCCTATCTCAATCCATAGTCTCTACCTTTGTCCCTCTCTCAGCAGAGGGGCCAGGGGGGAGGGAGCAGCTTATTTGGAATTTAATTCCCAGATGTTTTAAACCACCACACAAGTATTATCTTATTGTCAATGCAATCCTTCCACAGATTTAAATCTACTCCCTTATGCCAGGGAGGCTGACTTTTACAGAGATACAAGGAAATGCTCAAACATTTAACAGAGAAATGATACTTCTTTAGTAACCTGTTATTTCTCATTTATTTTATAACAAAAAATTGCAACACTTTCATTTACCCAGGCACTTACATTTACTTTAAAATGAAGTACTAAATGTTGCTGAAAATATCAAATTTCACACACATCTACCTTCTAGACTAATTGGCACAGTACCTATCAGACCATGGTTCATTAGAGCATTAAACTGAATTTTCCATTTTCAAAATCTATGGTTTGGGAGGATGCCATAGATTAGTTCATAAACTATAATTTCTCCACCAATGTAGTAATAGTGGGGAGCAGCACTCCTAAATCAAACTGTTTGTTGTAAAAGAAAGGCTTTTGCCAGCCCTCTGGAAAGGCCTTACACTAAGAAATTAATGAGGCAGATTGATAAAAGCCATAAAAAACATCCATGTATTTCCTCAGCAGCATGAAAAGTATTTCAGGAGGTATTATTCGCACTGGTTAAAAGAAATAGAAACAATAACAGTTATTTGTAAGTATACTTTTAAACAGAAAAATTCTCTTTCACCATGTCTTATTAGTTTTCATGCAACATTTATTTTGTTGGAGAATACAGTCTCATGCTGGATGAAAGGCATTTAGGCACAGAGAAATGTCACAGGATGAATTGTAGCCAGTGGCTGCAAGGAATTCAGCTCATGCTCAACCTCACAAACATCCTTTGAATCTCACTTGGCCTCTTCATGGTCTTGTGAGTAAAACTGGGCAATGAGGAGCACATGAGAGAGACCAGGACAGCCAGACAGCACAAAGTCTTGAGAAAGCCAATGCTAAAAGCAGCACCTCACACTGGCTCAGCAGTTATGTTCTCCATGGCCACTTGGAACACTTCTCCTTGGTGCACTTTTCCCTGTGCTGACCTTTTTCCTTCTCAGCTCCCTGTTGCCTGCTAGGCAGCAAAAGGAACTTGTTGTGCCTTTAGTGTACATCAGAGCATGTAGGTTGGAACAACTTCCAACCTCTTTTGATACCTAGCAGGACAGGGCTATGTAGCACATTTTCCATGAAGGCAGATCCTTAAGAAAACCAGAAGTGAGGAGGAGTGCCTAACATGCTTCTACTTCACCACAATGGAGGTTGTTTTTTTATGGCTCAGCTACAAGAACCAAGAAATCACAAGTAAACCCCATGCACCACATGGAATAATAAGAGTAAATGTCTCTTTTGTGGTTTCCATGAGTTTTGTGAAGCAGGCTTGAATGTGAAAATGTGAAGAAACAAAGCACCTATAATTTGTTACAGTTGGGGAAGAAAAAGTCTCATGCACTTAAGCCAATCACATTTTGAGGGTTTTGGTCTGGAAACTTGATTCACACTTCATGCAGATTTGCAGTTGGCAGCCACAGAATGCCTGCACTGAAGGGAAGGCCCTGCAATACAACCCATTTAAAATAGAGTTCCTTTTCATGATAAAAGTGTTACTGAATTCAAAGCCCTTCTGGAACTGGCAGAGTTGCACAAACACCTTTTTAAAAAATCTCAAGAGCACAGCCATGCTTAACTTTTCATAGCTGGATATAAAGGAAGAGAAAATAATGAAAGAAAAACCCCTGTAGTCAGGTATGCCTTGTAGGAAGGTCAGTACAGCACAGAGTTCACAACATCAAAAAGTGTAACTTTATTGTCACAGAAAACCCCACTGGATGTCTCCTTCAGTCACATCCTCTCCATACCTTGCATGACAGTGATGGCCTCTGCCCACAGCTATGGTGAGGATAGTGGTATTTAATTTCCTAGAGCCTAACTAATTAGCCAGTCCTAAGAACATAACCCTCATCCACCCTGCAGAACATTAACTGTGTCTGGGGCCACCACCACTTGGCATTAAATGCTTTGAGCAGAGGCTACAGAGAGCCTATGAGAAAATTTCTAATCTATACAAGAAATTATGACTGAAGAAAGCTTTAAAATAGCTGCTAAAAAGGAATTGCCATCCACCCCATCATTAACATGTAGAGATCCAGTAGGCAAACAAAGTTTCCAGATTGTTTTCCATAGTTCCTGGTACTTAGGAAGAAGTCTCTCTTCTCTGAAGAGAAGCAGCTCTTTCCAATTGCAATAACTGAGCTCTTTTCTAAGGCTCAAGAAAACCCTGGATTTTTTGAATTCCAAAACCAGCAAAAATAAAAGAAAGAAACACCTCCTTCCAGGTAAAAGGGATTAATTGCTTCCTATGGTTTTGTTACCCAGTTTAGAATTCTGCATCATTCAAGGAACAACAAGAACATTCTGTATGTTATCATGCCATACAAAACTGAAACCATAGGCTGGGCATTTTGGGCTATTGCATCCCTCAGCTTTACCAACTCAAAGACACAAAACTAAAAAGTTTTCTCTTTTGTGTGTTTCTAAGTATCAGCTCTCCAGACTATTTGCTCAGGAAAGTATTTTCTTTGGCTCCTTGTGACACAAAAACAGACATATTTTTTACTCCATGCTATACTGAACACTACCATTTTTCAAATTGTTCTCCTTCATGCAAATGACAGTGCTTATTAACTGCTTCATTAGTTTAAAAAGTGGTTTCAGTTCAGAGTTTCTCATCTGTAACCATCCTGTCTATTTCAAAAGCTAAGTCAATTTTTAGAAGATAACAAATAAAACACTTCTGCCTTTGCTTAACTTAAAATGTTTCTTCTGGTCTGTCCCTGAAGTCATCCAGGAGTGTACTCAATCTTCAGAGCAAAGGTTGATGCTCTTAGTGTACCTCTTGTTCATCTCTGAAAGGATAAAAACCAGCAATTAATTGAACATGTATATGGTATGAAGACCACCCAGCAAGAACATTTTTTCATAAGAGCAGGACTTGTTTACCTTCTTAGCAAATCTGCTAAGGCTGTGAAACGAGGCATGCACGGAAGGCAGGCCAGGCAAGCTGAGCACAACCCCACAACCACAAAGGACCCTGGCTAATCACCACAGCAGGAGTACAGACCCCCCAGCATGTCTTCCTACATTCTCTGAGCTCAATACCTACCCTGGGCAAGGGAGGTGCTTGCCTAATTCTGCTTCTTGAAAGTAGCATAGCACCTGTTAAAGAAATCCTTCCTCCCTCAGTGCAGATTAAACCCTTTACATTTCCAAGAGTTCATATCTAGCATTTATTCCAGCCTTTTCTATGCTTTGCAGGCATCCCCCCCACACACTTTGTTAATAAACCATTATCTTTTTTTTTCACTTACACGCACTGGTATCAATTATCAATTTACTCTCATTGGTAGAAGAAAAGGGAGTTATTGAAGCCTTTTTCTCTTTAGAGGAAACACTTGTTCCAGGGCGTTTTCTCCTGAAATTTGTCTCCAAAACTGAGACAACCACCAGCTCTGAATTGGTGAGAATGTTTTTGGGTAAAGGGTGATGTAGGCTGGATTGCAGCCAAAACCTGTGAAGGAAATCCTAAATTACTTGTTAGAGCTACTGTATCCAAACCCGAAGTGATTGGTACATTAAATTATACATGTGTATTCTGGACATTACAAAAGAAAAAAAAAGTTAAAGAGCAGTAAGGCTACAGAATTTAGGATTAGGAAACCCTAGCTTCAAAACTACTTGGCACTGCTGAAGAAAAAGTAGTTCATGAGGGCTGATCTCAGTGTTGCCTTTATCATTTGAGCTCTATTAAATCAGCCAAATGGAGTGGTTTTCTCCTCAATACCAAACCAATAGCTAACATGAAGTCTGAAACTGTAAGCATCAATATTACTTGAACAGAGATGCCTTAAAATAGTATTATAAGTATATAATACCATAGCACAGGATGCCACTCATTTTGATTATGATATAATAGAAAGTACAGAAGTACAGAATTTCATCCTAATACAACAATAATGCTTATTACACTTCAAGGCAATAGTCCTTTCCTGGGAGATAATGCCTTATTTGTGCAGCCCTGTTTCATGCAATGCTTTCAACTTTCAGCAACACCTTAAATATATTCATGTCTGCTGTGTTCAGCCAGTGCCTTTATGTGCCTTTCAGATTCACACTTTGCTGGTTTATGTTGCTGAAAATCAAGTGCATTTTTAATGGTCTGCAGCTGATTTACATAGGACAAAACCCATCAAGAAACAAACTTCACTGAAAATTTGAATTCTTCATAGCTCTCTTTGAGAGGTTTTACCCTGTGCCTCTTGCTGACATAAACACAAACTGATGAACACCTGAGTAGCTGAAGCTTCCTTCTTCGGTATCAGACATAACAAATTCTTCCCACTGAGGAAACCAGGCCTTCAATGTGTAACTTCTATCTTCACTGGGAGCGCTTCCTGAAACTGCTGCTCTTCTTCAGCTTCTGTAGAAGTGATTTTGAAATACTTTATTGAGCAACTCATACAGTCAAGCTCCAAACTGCCACTGCTGTGTGCTGAAAACTGCTGACAGCTATCTAACAAAGACATACCTGCACAGGCTTCAAGACAGCACCCAAGATTAGCAACCTTTTTAAAATATGTTAGTTTGATGTTTCATGTTGGAAGACCCAGGGACAACAAAATCCATCCCATGGTGAGATATCACCTGCCAACATCACCTTCAGACCTGCTAAGTTTCATTCTCAGCTCACGAGACTCCCACATGCCTCTTTCTGCTAATTCCCAGCTAATGCTGGACCTCACACACAGGCCTTGCAGGGCTGTGGGATCTCCCTGGTGCTCCTAGGCATGTGCTGAAGGAGATGGCTCTCCCTCCAGCTGTGTGCCTATATGCTCCATGTGGTCAGAGAGTGAGAGCACTGCTGTGGTGCTCTGCCAGGATGCAGGAATGAGCTGGTCACCAGAGGCCCATGCCCACTTGAAGCCACAACCATTCGCTGCTGCTTGTCTCTGTCACATCATCTCATGCCCACATGACTGACATGGTGTGACCCCATGCTAAGGCACACTAAGGAGAGTCACGTATCCAGGGAGAAGTAAGCTGAGCTCTGCATCTTATTCCAGCTCTCCCTGCACTATAATGCCAACACAGAGAAGTTGGACGAAGAACATGGAGGTCCCCTGATGGGTACTCATGCTAAATCGGCACTGTATTCTTCTTGAAAAAAGACAGCACATCAGCTTTAAATAACCTGCTCAGAAACCAAACCTCTAGGCTATTCATATCGTGAATGTTGGACATGAACAGTTGGACTCACTCTTTGCAACACAGACTGAAAGTCTGAAAAGGAAATAAAGTGCTTTGTGAGAGGGGCCAGTGCTACCCGTCGTTGTGTTTTCAAAACCTCTAAACAGATCCTGCAGCTTGGCTTTACAGACAGTATCACCACCACATGTGGCAAAAGAGGGGAGCACAGGAGACCATGGCTGAACAGGAGCTTCCCTTACACAGATACAGAGACAGAAATCACCCCCAGGGCTGGGACGTGGTGGCAACAACTCTCAGGAAGCTGCTCAGAATGACTGACCATTCAAGAAGAACATGTCTATAAGCAGATCTTCCGCTTCAGATTTGTACCTTAGAGAGCAAACATCATTCAAAGGCAAGCATGTGACAAAAAAGCTCTGAGAAAAATTAGGACAATTGCATCCAAGGGCTACTGGTAGTTTAACTCTTAGTTTTTCACATTAAGTTGTCTGTTATCAAAACAAAATCCAACATGCTTATACAGATGCTGCTGCAGACGTAATAGGACTAATGATATTCCAGCTCAGGAATACACATAGAAAGTTGCAGGTAAATTCTTTGACAGAAAAAAAGGGTATAAAAGTTCTTTTACTTTGCAGTGAGAATGAAAGTCTGCAAAAATTATCTTTCCTTAGAAACAGATAATTTTTATATGGCTGTTCTTACCTGAATATACTTGTACAGTCTTCATGTCTAGAGAATACATGTTTCTCAGATGAACATTAAGTTTGACAAAAACCAACCCAATTTTCATTTCAACCTGTCTTACTCACAGAGCTTTGAACACTTTTTCTCCAGGTAACCTACAATTCCTCTATTTTCTAACTTGGTATCTAGCAAGGCCATGTGTATTTTTTTCAGCAAGATAATGCTTTAAATTACACTCACTGTAGTAAACATTGTTAGACATTGATCACAGCAAAGCAGACACTGAAGGTAATCCTTTCTAGCTGTAGAAATGACCTATTAACACTGGAAATAATGAAAAAAAAAACCAAAATGGGTGACTGCAGAGAGACTGTTCAACCAAACCAATTCATAGCAAAGCCCAAATGTCACAAAGTCCTCAGGTCAGGGCTGTGCACACTGTAGGGGAGCTCTCTGACTATTATGCTGACAACAGTTCTAATACCAAAGGAGTGGATATTGTTACTTCTGAGTATGCTTATCTAGTGTTTATCACAGAGTAACAGAGATCTGTGCAGTTTGGAGTGTCAAAGGAAAAAGTCTGCCACCAACTCAGCAGGGAAGAACAATTTACACCAATAACCTCGAGCAAACCCTATCCTCTCCTTATCCTACACCAGAGTTCAGGAAGGAGGGACAGGCCATGTATTGGTACGGGAGATGACTATAAAGAGAAGGCATCCCCATGAAGGGCAGAAAATAGGAATTATAGATTATGTGACTATGCCTCCAGGAGGAACAGAGGTGCAGAGACCTCTCTGTAAAGACCCATTACACTGTTGCAAGAAAAGCACAATCCTAAAGTGGAAACAGCATCTGTAAGGAGCAACAATGCATTTGTACTTTCTGTCCTGTTGCAGTATCTACTTCTACTCTGTTTTCTGTAAGCACATTAAAAAGGAAAAAGGTTGTTCTTAATGTCCCATTTTTGTACCCACACTTCTTCCCCAAAGAATGCCAAATGTCAATCTGATTGCCACCATCTGTTTAAGGTATTTTCTGATCCCAGAAACAAATCCTTGAAGCCTGGACAAAGTTCACTTTTCTGTAGCTTAGGACAAGATCTACCATCTCTCAGCTCCATTACAGTGCATAGGTACGTATGTGATGGGATATGTCCTGCCAGATTTTCTAGCTACAACGAAGCTGCCAAGACTGTAAATAGGCTGACCTGGCATTCCTGGGAATGCAACTCTCCCTGTCAGCCTCCTGCTTGCTAACAGACTATGACCAAGGTGTTGAGCTTACCCAGGAGCCTACACCAGCTTAAGGAAGGCACCTTCCAGGAGGCTATACCCGACAGGACTTCATAAACATAGCCAAATTTTCCTTCTAGGCATCCAAGTTCAGTAATTCCCAACAATCTCCTTTTTACTTCTACCCTCTCAACTGCTCCTGCATGGTTCCCTCCTGCCTACTCTGATAGAATGAGATCAGACTCTTAAATGAAAAAACAGGACAAGTTTCCAGGTTGCAAACGGTTTTGTAATGCAGATGCTTCTGTCTGCAAATACAGACAGCTCTGCGCATTGCTGATGTGTCACACACTGAAAACACCGTCCCTGCTCGGAAGGCATTGCTGCTTTCAGACACTCCCATCCACAGGCATAGCTGCTCCCCTAGTGCCATCTCCCGGCTTAAGGGGTAGGAACACTGTAGCTGAAAATATTTTTTATAGATGTTAACAAACTTTCAACATGTTTAGACTATGGGTCAGTATTATATAAACCCACCCAAAACACAAGCATTCTTTTAACAATTTTGTACAATTCACTCCCAATAAAGTATCAGTTTACAATGATGACGTTTTGAAAAATATCTCCTGGTCCAATCTACTTGAACTTTGAGCCTTTTCAGCATTTGTTTTATTTCTTAACAAACATCAAGGTTCAAAACTTCCTTTTTGCTGAAACATTTTGTGTCATCTTATGACTCCAGAGGGTAATTCCTGAAAATTCCACAATACCACACAGGAAATGAGGTAAGTATGTAAAACTCCAGTTATGAGAACCATATATAATTTTAACCCCATACTTAATGATGATTGGCAACACATACTTTCTAGATACCAGATCTAGTTATCAGATCTCTATGCATATCTAGTTGTATCTATAGTTTTGTAGGTCAGGGTATTGTAGGTAAAATAAACTGATAGGAGCCTGTTTCTTAGAGAAAGATGCCTATTTAAGGCTCAAAACTCTCCCAAATTGGCTGACTGAGGAGACTATCCTCTGTCAGCACTGTGCCCCCTGCAGCACGGTGACCTCAGGAGCCAAAGGGATGAAGAACTATGAGCACACTATTAAATCTTTATCCTTCTCCCCACTTCCAATGGTTTGCTGTTCCCTAAAGAAATGCCTGCTCTGATATGAAATCCCCCCTCCCAAGATGTGAATAACTGTTTGAGTATTTTTTTGTTGTTGTTAATTAGCACAGTTATGAGCATTGCAGTAACTGGAAGAAAGGTAATTGTGGCAGAGGGAGATTGTAACCACTGGCTCATTGACCACCTACCCAAAACAGACTCCAGACTCAAACGGAGGGAAGAACTGCACATGAGGATTAATTTGCATGAGAAGTGAAAGATAGAACTAGAAAACAGTGGGTTGAGTACTAATCAGTAAAGAGGTTATGTAATAAAATGTATGCCTTTGTCTGTTAATCTCTATATAGTAAAGTTCTGATAAATGGGGAGCTAGCCTTTTATGGGTTACCACTAGCTCCTTATTTTACACAAACTAGGATTTAAAAAAACAGAAATACTTTGCTTCAGTGTGCGAACAGGAGCTGTGTGACGGGTAACATTCAGAACAACACCTCCATTTCTGGAAAGCCCCCTACACACGATAATTAGGTAAAAACCACCTCATTTAGAGAACCAGCACTCAAAAAAGGAAAAAAACCCCAAAATACACACACACACATCAACCAAAATTAAAAACAAACGAACAAAAACAAAACAAAAAAACAAACAAAAACCAAACGAAACAAAAACCCTCAACAAAACAAACAACCCCCAACAAAAAACAAACAACCCCCCCAAAATAATTTTTAAAAGATCCAAAAAAACAAACCAAAAAACCACACACACAGAGAAAATGTGCTAAGTTATTTTGGCGGGCAGGGGCGAAAAGGCCCAGCGAGGGCAGCCCTCAGGGCCGGGGGCTCAGTTTCCCGCCATGCCGCCCCCTTTCCTGAGGGCTCTGAGGAAGGAGAATGGAGCCGTGGCATGGAGGGCCGTCCCTCAGGCCGGGCGCCATCACGCGAGCCGCCTCCAGCGCACAACCCCTTCGTCCGGCTTTGCCCTCGCTTCCCTCCATGAGGCGATTGCAAAGCTACATGAGAAGAACACGAACTGTACCGATGTTTCCCGGTACGCCCGCCTCCAGCCCGGAAGAGGTTTGCAGAGGAGGTAGGCGGGCGCGGGGATAACTCGGGGGCTGCGGTGCCGCCCTGCCCTGTCCCGCCCTGTCCCGTAAGATGGCGGCGCGGCTGCTCCGCCTGCGCAGCCTGCTGCGGGCCGCCGGCTCCCGGCCCTTCTCCGCCCAGCCCAGGTGAGCGGGACCGGGCAGCGCTGGGGTGCGGGTGGCTGAGCGCCCCTCAGCTTGGCTTCCCTAAAGACCGGGGTGAAAGTCTTTGCCCAGCTGCTCGGGGCTGTGTGTATGCGCTGTCCATTCTGTGCGGATGTGTTGGGAGGCTGTGGGTGCGTGTGTGGGAGTGCTGTACGTGTGTGGGGGGCCGTGCCCCCATGGCAGCGGGCAGTGGGGCTGGGCGAGCCCCGGGAGCCGCGGCACATCCATCCCCGTGAGCTCCCGACCTTTGCTCCGGTTCCCGGAGCCGCGGGTCCCGTGTGGCAGCAGGTGACAGCCGGCGCGACCTTGCCCGGGCACCGCGTTCCCCCGTGGCAGCGGTGGGATCACACCTTGTCAGACCTTCTAGTTGTTTTTCCCGGCGTAAGGGAGCAGCCAGCCCCCTTCCCTGTGTGACATGCAGGGTGTGAGCCACAATCAAACAAAAGGTTGGGCTTAAATAAGTCAGCATCGTCTTAAACAGCTTTAAAAATAAGGTGGAGGTTTTGAGAGAGGCAGTGTGTGTCTAGCTTTGAGGATACAAAATACTCAACAAGCAAGTTGCTGTATCCCATTTTTTCCAAATATTATTAAAAGTAAGTAGAGTCTGTGTTTTAGGGGGATTATTTTACTGACAGAACCTGAATAACTGTATGTGGTAGTAAATAGAATTTTGTCTCTGTAGTAGAGTAAATAAGCATAGACTCAGCTGAGTTCTGTAGAACTACACATAGTTAATGTGCAGAGGAACCGAGAGACTAACAAAATAGTTTGAGAAAGGAAAAGTAAATGCCTTTTCCATGTACTCAGCTCTGTACTTAAAGTTCCTGATGTTTCATGGCAATACAACAAAAGCAAGTCAAAAAATCCAATGCACAAATATGAGTAGTGAATTTTCATTTCAGCCTTAAAGTAGTGTGTCATCCTTGATGTTCCAAACCCCCACAAAAGTGTTGTAACGCCTTCTTTCTTATTTCATAATTAGGCTTTCCTTTTGTGGTTTCTACTACTGACATTTACCACTGTTTTAGTTTTTGGGTGGTTTTTTTTTTGTTGGTTTTTTTTAAAGTATTTTTTGTTTTCATTAGGGTAATTTTATTCTTTTACTTACATATATTATTATTGTTTTTAATTTATTTGAAGTGTTAAGAACAAACCAGCCTTGCTTTACCTCCATTAATAATCCAGTGGAGTGCAGTGTATGTTAGTTCTTTGTATTTATCATCCTTTACACCTAATGGTGTGCCAGAGTTGGGATGTGAACTGTGTTTAGTAACATGTGAGTTTCCTTCATTTTAAAAGGGTTATGCAAATAGGGTGCCTGTGTCCTAACAGATGCATTAATTTGTCTTTTTTCAGTCCCCTGCAAACAGAACAGCATGGCACAAAGCGCCTGGAACCATCTTCTGCTAAAACTTTGATTGACGTAGGCACTCGGAGGATCTTCTCATCAGAGCATGATATCTTCAGGGAGAGTGCCAGGAAATTCTTTCAGGAAGAAGTGCTGCCTTTTCATGCAGAGTAAGATAACTTCCTAAACATTTTGGTTTGCCAATAGTAATTTTTCCCCAAAATGCTTTCTGCAGTGTTACCCCTGATACAATAGGATATAAAGGTTCCATGTTAAAGTTTTCATGTACAAACTTTCTATTTCAAATTTACCAAATTAAAACAAACCTCTGAAAGTCATGTGTGAAGGAAAATCACACATAATCAAAATTGAATGCATCCTTTGAGCTCCAGTGTAGGCAAACTAGCATCCTTAGGCCCATGAGCAGACAAATGACATTTGCAGAGTTGCAGCAAAGTTTCCATGCCTCTATGACTAACTAACACAAATGTTTTTGGGATGGAGTTGGGGGGCAGTTCAGTTCCCACACTGTTGGGAAATAGTCACTGAAAAAGGCTTTGATGATGTGTCACTGTCTCTCTTGCAGTAGATTTTGTAGCTACATGTAAGTACTTATAGCATGGTGAGGTGAATTATGCATTACTAAGAAACTTGCACAAAACATCTTTGTTTGAATTTCTTTAATTTTTGTTTCTGTGGAAATATGTGCATTTTCTGTACAGAGCAGAAGTGTTGCAATTCCACTGGACTAGACCTGGAGAGTGGTTTTAGCCTTTATTTTAGTCATATCCAATCACATTATAGTGTTGAAAAGGGAAAAATTAACTTAGGGTATGGTTTTGAACAAAAAGTGTCAAGCTGTAGTAGTGTCTTCAGCAATTTTTAGTTTACTTGAAGTGAAAACAGCAAAGGATAGTGAAGGGCTTATTCCAAAATCGCCCTGCTAGATGAGAGGATCCTGACACAGCTCAGGTGTGTATCCACAAACAGCTGAGGTGCCTCAGGTGTGTGGGTGGGATATCATGGCTCTGGGGCAGGAATGAGCTGCGGGAGGCTTACAGCAGAATTGGTGACTGTTTTTTTTTAATTCTCAAACTACAACCTTTTAGTAGTATGCTCTTCCACTGTACAGTCATATTCTGTCCATAAAACCAGGTGTTTTCCCTCATTTTATGTTGGAAGGACTTCCAGGGCAGGTTTGTGGACGTGTATTGGCTCTGCTTGAGGTTGCTGAAAATCCTATTTGACATCTTGCTGACACAACAATTTCTTAAAGTTCAACTTGTATTCTTGCATCACTGCAGTGGCCTATGAACCCCTCTGTTCTCACATCTTTCAAGTAAACAAGGAGGCCTCGGGCACAGAACATTAATTGTCTGGACTGAGGTGGAGAGACAAGTGTGGCCTCAGTGAATGCAGCTGTGGATTATTGTGAGGAGAAGTTTTGGTGCTGGGTGAAGTAGAGACAGGAATGTCCCTGGAAGTGGGGATCAGGGGGAAAGCAGAGATGGTAAAAAGAGATTTAAGATTTCCAGTGTAGGAGCAAAAGTTCTGTGAATCAGCTTAAATACTGGAACAGCTTGCCCAGAGGAGCTGTGGCTGCTCCATCACTGGGAGTGGTCAAGGCCAGGTTGGATGGGGCTTGGAGCAACCTGGGCTAGTGAAAAGTGTCACTGCCCATGGAATGGGGTCAGAACTGGATGAGGTTTAAGGTCCCTTCCAGTCCAAACCATTCTGTGATTCTGATTCTGTTTTAAGATACTTGATTAACTGCAGGTAAATAGCTATGGTATAGCTCTGCTGCACACAGGTGTGTCAGAGGAATGTCTCTGATACCATCTGTTTACCATATAATTTTTAAATTGTGGCATTAGAAAACAAAGGCATTAAATAAAAGAAATCACCTATTTTCCAAGAATAGGTGATTCCTGTGGTGTTAAAGTTTGCAAATTGTCAGCAGATAAGCCTCAACTACGTATTTACACAAATATGAAAGTACCTTAAAGCAGTAATTTACCAAGATACAGTACTGACTCATAAGAAGTGCACAGGGACAGATTTTTATACGAAACTGACTAATATGGTATCATTTGGTTCTGATAAAGCATTTTACATTGGTAGAGTTGAAATCTTTGATGAAAGATACTGATGTGTATACTCATTTTTTATGTGGGTAAATGTGTGTTTATGAATGGAATGTTAGGAGGATAAAGACCTGTAATTATCCAGATGGTTGGGGCTAAATTGCCTAAATCCCTGTCTGGTGTAAGAATCATAGCAAGTCTGCAATCTTGTCAGGTTAGGCACTGGAAGCAAGATTCAAACTTGTTTTGCAGTTGGTGTCCCTGCAATGCCAGTGTCATCTGTGGACTTGAAGATTAGAAACTCTGTGATTAAGCCACTGCTTCTTGGCTGTGACACAGAGTTGTCTGTGTACCTTGGCACTGTCTGCTGGTGTTCCAGTGTGAAGCAGCAGCCGTGACAGATAGACAGTAGCACGTGGGGGGTTCAGTGTGTGACCCTGGTTTTGTGTTCTTTTCACAGGTGGGAGAAGGAGGGCCAAGTGAGCAGGGAGCTCTGGGAAAAAGCTGGGCAGCAGGGCTTGCTGGGTGTTGCTATTGCTGAGAAACATGGAGGCATCGGAGCAGATATTCTCTCTTCAGCCATCGTCTGGGAGGAGCAGTGAGTACTCCATGCTTCAGGAAGAATTTCAATAATCATGTTGTTTGTGACTGTATTTTTTCTCCATAAATTATCCTCATTATGGACTACATTTGCTTACAGAAAATTATGTTATCTTCCCTATGGAAAGGGTAGTTTACATATATGTAAATATCCCTCCTGTTTTAAGTATTCTGGATCATTGTTTGAGTAATACTGGCGTTGTGACTGGGGAAAGCTTTTTTTTTTTTTTAGCCTGATGGGTTATGTACTCATTTGGCTGTGAAATTAAATTCTATAAATAATGGTAAAAGATCTCTGAGACTTCTGTGTAGTGGGGTTTTCTTCATTATTGGGTGTGTGTTGTTATGGTGCAAGTTCAGTGTTCAAGTCTTTTGGTAGGACTTTTTTCTGAACTTCCCCCCATCCCATTTTTTTTCAGGATGTATGTTAACTGTACAGGCCCAGGGTTCAGCCTTCATTCAGATATAGTCATGCCCTACATTGCAAACTATGGCTCTGAAGAACAGATTAAGCACTTTATCCCCCAGATGGTTGCAGGCAAGTGCATTGGAGCTATTGCCATGACAGAACCTGGGGCTGGCAGGTAAGCCAACTACTAAAACAATGGTCTCAACATTATTTGCTGTCTGTTGATTTGTCAGTGAAAAACATTCTGAGCATCCTGGTGATTTGTCAGTGAAAAACATTCTGAGCATCCTGGTTAGTTACTTTACAGACTAGACTATCCTACATTATAGGTAAGACTTGAAAAACCTGTTATAGATTACTTTACTACAGCTTTGTCATTTCGGGATTATAGGTAAGACTTGAAAAACCTGTTATAGATTACTACAGCTTTGTCATTT